ATGGGGGAAAGTTGTATAATTTGGCACAATGATCGAGGACAGTGTAAACATGAACCACAGCAAATCAGAAGTCTCCAAGTCAAACTCTCTAGCGCCTCCAAAGCGTACAAAATTTCACTTATGTTTCTAACTTTTGAACCCAATGGGCTACAATCAAAATTCTCTTTTCCTCTGGATCCTTGGCTTATTCAAACACATCCTATGTCAATTCAGAATTTTTTTCCAAAACTTATTTGAATCAAATTTAACATAAAGCTTGCAAAAATGCATTTGAAGCAATATCTCCGTAACATATAGACGTATTCACACTAAACTTGCTGTGTGTTATGACAACCATGGTCCGAGGTGATCTGCAGCGTTTCGGTGCCCTGCCCCTAGTGGTCCGCAGATATAAGAAAATGCTTTTTTTACGTCTTAACCCCCCGTCCAAAAATCATAAAATTGGTCTCTTCACAACCGACAGAGCATGCAGAGTCGAATGATTTCAGATTTTTTTTGGTCAGCCAAAAAATGCAATATTTTAAAAACATATTCGTGTATGATTACAAAACATTGTATGCATCTTTGTCACCATGCCCTGAAAGTACTCAAAACTTTTGGACACAAGGTGGTGCTGCTCCAGAAGTTTTTAAGCAATTTTTGAAAGATGCTAATAACTTTTTCTAAGCATTGTTTATGACATGACTTGTGTCTTCTTGTATTCCCTAGATCACGCCGAGACCATTGAAACCAAATATGCCAAAATAAACTCAACTTCCTGTTCGCCATTTTTTGTTTTTCAGATTTTTACCAAATTTTTACCAAATGTTGGCAAAAAGATATGGAATTCATGTTGATACACAACACAGTTTTTATTTACACCACCAATAAATATGCTGGCACAATGTCTGAGATCGTCTGAGGCTGTAATTCTACAATGTTTTAACATATTGACGCTGAACTTTAAGTGTGTCATTGGCGTCTCACAATAACCACCACACATAAATTAATAACGAAACTTGTTGAATAATAAAATGTTGATTGCATAGTTTTAATGTGTTTAAATTGATATCAAATTATTCCTTTTGTATTCCTACTGAGAACACGTGTTTCTTCTCGAGCAGTACTGCAATTTGTCAAGCGCAGTCATGTGCTGTACTGCAGCTGCAAAGGCCGTGTTTTCATAAAAAAATTAAATAAAATTTCTGTGGTTTACGCAATAACCACCATGTGGTGAAAGGAACAACCACTTTTCCTATGAGTCAGTTGTCATGCGTGTTTAGACGCATGTACAGTATTTGTTTGCGACAGCGATCGATTCAGCTCCGTTGATGCCTCGAGCCGCTGGGTTTCTTTCTTTCTTTATTTGTAGAATATGTAAATTTGTATTAACATATGGATACAACAGAAAGACATAAAACTTTGCAAATTGCATGTCCACTTGAGGGCTCAACACAATTTTATAGATCTTGATAAAATAACCTAAGCGATATTGAAATCATTTAAAGATATAAAAATATTAGATATAATAAAAACATTAAATAAACGAATATAAAACAAACAAAAGCTATATTGATTTAGGAATATACAGTGTAACATAAATGTATAAAACTTTTAAATCCATTTTGAACTTTAATTTCACAAAAATTCTAAAAAAAAAAAAAAGATTTTAGATATTTCCTAAAAATAATAAACAATGTAGTCTATTGCAATTTTACTATTTTAAAATAAATATTATTTATGAAGAATTTGGATATGAGGATATTAATCAAATCGATCAAACAGAGCTTTTTTTTTTTTTTTTTTTACAAACAGATTGGGGAAAACTGCAGGTAAAAATGTCTTCTATGACATCAAACAAGTGTTTATGATTTTATATAACATGGTAAAATTTAAAGATGAAATTAATCATCACGAGAAAGCAATCAAATTGTTTGTTACAACATCAAAACCCATCCCTGCAAAGGTGAAACAAATGATGAAGTCAAAATGAGCGAATTTGTGTGGAGTGGGAAGTAATGCATGGAAAATGGAACTGATGTTCTTGGCTGGTGGAAGTTGAACAACCCTAACCAAAACATGTTAAAGCACTAAAACTGCTTACACATTAAACACGTTTACAAAGCCTAATCTTGGTGAGTAAATGGTTTAAAATTATAACCAAATAATAATTAAATCATACATGAAAACAAAAAAGAATTAAAAAGGTACTTTCTGATGCTTTTGCTCACCCAAAAATGCTCTGTTTGCACGATTCTATTAATATCATTGTATCCAAATACTTTATAAATAATATTTCAAAACCTCTCTGTTGTTTATTGTTTTTAGAAAACATTAAAAAAATCTTGAAAGTTCAAAATGGCTTAAAATGGTTTAGTTTATTTGTATTGTATATACCTATTGTTATATATTTTGTTTGTTTTAGATTGGTTTAATTAAGTTGTTTTATTATGTTCGATATAAGCGGCTGGGTTTCTTTCTTTCTTTCTTTTTTTAGGAGATAATACAAAATATGACTACAATAGAAAAGCATAAAACTTTACAAACTACGTGTCCACTTTTATAGGCTCAACATAATGTCATATCTAGATACAATAGCCTATATTGAAATTGTTTAAAGAATTACAAATATCAGATATAAATATAAAAAAATAATGATCACGTTAAATATATAAACCAATATAAAACAAACAAAAGCTAAAACAATTCAGGTATATAAAATACAAATAAATTAAACCATTTCAATCCATTTAAACTTTCATTTTACAAAGGCCACTCTGAAAAAAAAAAAATTTAGATAATTACTAAAAACAATAGACAACAAAGGAGTTTTGAAATTTTATTTATAAAGTATTTGGATCTGATGATATTAGACCAGCTGAAAGACCAGCTAAAAGCAGGTATAAAGTCCACTGGAGAGCATGTTAGTTGTGCACCTTGTTTACACATTGCTTAAAACACACCACATGTACAGCAATATGCAAATATCTTTACAAATGAAAAAGAATTAAAGTATTAAATTATTGCAAAAAAAAAAAAAATATATATATATATATATATATATATATATATATATATATATATATATATATATATATGTGTGTGTGTGTGTGTGTGTGTGTGTGTGTGTGTGTGTGTGTGTGTGTGTGCGCGTGTGTGTGTGTGTGTTTGTGTGTGTATACAGTTAGAGTCAGAATTATTAGATCCCCAGAATTATTCGCTCCCTGTAATTTTTTTTCCCCCAATTTCTGTTTAACGGAGAGAAGATTTTTTTCACATATTTCTAAACATAATAGTTTTAATTAATCATTTCTAATGACTGATTTATCTTATCTTTGCCACGATGACAGAAAATAATAATTTTCTAGATAGTTTTCAAGACTAATTAAGTCAATTCATCTTTATTTCTATGGTGCTTTTACAATGTAGATTGTGTCAGCAGCTTCACATAAAAGATTATATTAAATTGAAACAGTGTCAGTTCAGTTTTCAGTGTTGCATTTCAGTTTAGTTTTCAGTGTGGTTTAATTTTTACTGCTGAAAGTTTAAACACTGAAGAGCTCCATGTGTCCCAAACCATGCAAGCCAGTGGTGACAGTGGCGAGGAGTGAAAAATTTAAAAAACTTGAATGAAAAAAGGCTCCGTTGATGTTTGATTGTTTGCCGCCAGCCCTGACCGTTAGCCTGTTGTTTACCACAATTCTGTTTACACTGCCTTGTTGCGTACGCCGGTCCCTCACCAATGTCTTTCTGACTCAAAAGCCTGCAAGATAGATCCCAGTCCTTGTGATGAATCAATACAACTACATCCATTCTGCCCACGGTAGAAAAACAAGCCATGCCTACTGTTTGCTCATTTAAAATTCCACTTCTCTAGGAAATGCATCACAATGCAAAATTTTTTTCACCATAGAATTTTATTATTATTATTATTATTATTTATTTTTATTTTTTTTTTAATGATCGCGGCTTCTGGTTCACCAGAACTTTAGGCATGAATAGCTAGAGTGTCAAAATACAACATTCAATTTTCTAAAACAATATTTGTGTATCTTGAAAATAATATATATATATATATATTGTTATTAATAACTCTGTCTTCATTTACCATTTATAATTTCTTTAGAATATAGACTTTAATTGTCTTATTTTATTGTCTATTTACGAAGCAAAAAATAGTCCTCACTTTCGATTAGGTCACAAAACTGCATGATGTGTTAATATATCTTTCAATTCAATTCATCTTTATTTATATAGTGCTTTTACAATTAAGATTGTGTCAAAGCAGCTTAACATGGAAATTCTAGTAAAATGAAACTGCACCAGTAGTTTCAAAGTTGAAGTTTAGTTTAGTTTAGTTCAGTGTAGTTTTATTTTCACTGCTAAAAGTCCAGACACTGAATAGCAAATCCACTGATGTGCAGCTCCATGAGTCCTAAACCAAGCAAGACTTTTGATTACCTGATACAAATTGTTAATTTATCAGATCAATAATGACAAACACTGAAAATATAGATAAGACATGTAAGACCTAGCCAAGGCACTTCTAATATTACTCATGTAATTTTCAAGCCTATCAAGCAGAATGTTGTGATCAATTTTATGGAATGCAGCACTGAGGTCCAATAACTCAGAGAAAAATGCAAACATGATGGGACAATAGAAGCAGATCTCTCATAACCATTAGCAGTGCTGTTTTAGTGCCATGAAATGCTCTAAATCCAGGTTGGAATTTTACACTAAGATTGTTTCTCTGTAGGGAGGAATATAGTTGAATAGACATGACTTTTTGTAGTATATTTGATAGAAAATACATGCTAGAAATAGTTCTATAATTAAGAATAGAGGCTTGAATGGTAGGTAGTTTAAAAGTTTTAGGCTCATAAGGTGGAGTGTTATTATTGTCATTATAAGCCTATTTATTGACAAGCTCATGACAGTATAAATCAAAACTTGATTAAAATTGTGCTGTGGATTATTTTTCCGTAGTTATCCAAGCTAACCGAAACATATGTCCACAGAGTCATCCAATAACCAGAAGCTCATGTTGGAATACGAGAAATATCAGGAGCTACAACTGAAGCTTCATAATGTTCAGCAGGAATATGAGCAGCAGCTGCACAGCATGGAGGAGAGTAAAACCCAAGCCTTGGAGGATATGATGCAGTCTTATGAGGCTAAGATGGAGGAGAAGATGATTTTGGTGAACCAGGTAAGTAATGTTATGTCATTACAAACCAGTATAACTATATAGTATAGTTTACAGCAGTGGTTCTCAAACTGTGTTTCTTTTAGTGGTACGCGGAGTGAGGGAAAATAATAATAATAACAACATGTATATGTACCCACCGGCGTAGATTTAGCATGGACTGAGGGGACGCCTCTCCACCAGTACACCTCAGCTATTGAAATGTCCCCACCAACATTTTAATTCTCTTTAAAAAAAATAAAAATAAATTTGCACTGTTAGTATTAACCTAGACATGCAAAAATGTTAAATCTCGTCTCTCCTCGAGTCGCACCTCCCCCAAACACATATGAACATTGTGATTGGCTGAGCCTTTCCCTGCTGTCATGTAAGAGGCTGCCTGTATCTGCGTTCAGCTGTAGCAGCAGCAGCGCCTAACTGCAGGATAATTTCCCATCCAAGAAAGGTGTGTAAGGTCTGTGACATGCGAGTGAGGATGATGGCAGCAAAAAAGGACATAAGGAGCCTTTTTCAACGAAAAGTGTGTCACATAAACTCAAGTTCGAAAATGATTAAGTCCGTGATAATGCCGCTAATGTTCGTGTTTTTTTTCCCCAATTTAACGCACAGTCTGTCCATATAGCAGGCTGATATAATCTGTGAATATTAGAAATGCTTCGTTTGCACTATGGCTAAAACAAATGGATGTCTTTATTAAACTCTCTCTTTATCTGTTAATAAACACTCTTTTAACATTACACTATCAGGCCTGTAGCCAGCTTATTGAAAGGAGGGGTTATTTTTCTGAAAAACTTAACCTTGTCACGTTTTAGCGTGATCAAAACAATAACAAAAACGGGAACAAATGATAGCGGATTCATGTGCAGATTTAATATTAAATAGTGCGGTAACAGTGAACAAAAACCAAAATCCAAAGTGCAAAGTAACAACTAAACAACAAAACAAGAAACTAAGACGGATAAACATGAACTAGACTATAAACATGAACTAGACTATAACAATATACAAGGCAAGATCAGTGTTGGGGGCGGAGCAGGAACAAGGGGAGGGATGGGAGGGTCAGACCAGGATAGGTTAGGAACAACAACTAGGAGAAACAGACTTACTGGTTACAAGAAAGACAAACGACGCGATAACAAACTGTGGTGAAATGGTTGTATAAATAGTCCAGATAATCAACGGTAACACAAAACAGATGTGATGACAGGTCAGTGTAGGTGTTCCGGTGTATGCGCGTGGACTGTATAAACTTGTAGTCTTTTGAGCGCTGTAGTGAGTTTTCAGAGTCTGTGAACTACAGCGCCCTCCGGTGGTCACTGACCGTCATGACAGTACCCCCTCTTTAAAGAGCGGCTAGCAGACGGTCCCAGAACCGGGGGGGGTTTGGGGTGGTGTTGGGGGCGGAGCAGGAAGAAGGGGAGAGATGGGAGGGTCAGACCAGGATAGGTTTGTGGGTCAGGCGCCCCAGCAGGAAGCCAGGGTGCAGCCGGTGAATCCGTCCCAAGTAGTGAGACGGACCGCCAGGGAGGGTCGGGAGGGATGACCTATGGATGATCCCGTAGGGGACACAAGGCAGGGGTCTTTAGGAGAGCTGGCTAGAGAGGCAACTGGACAGGAGCCATTGGGACTGGAGGCAGCTGGGCTGGAGCAGGCGGGACTGGAGGCAGCTGGACTGGAGGCAGCTGGGCTGGAGCCGGCGGGACTGGAGGCAGCTGGGCTGGAGCCGGCGGGACTGGAGGCAGCTGGGCTGGAGCCGGCGGGACAGGAGGCAGCTGGACTGGAGCCAGCAGAGCAAGGAACCCGAGCGAGGTCGGCAGAGCAAAGAGCCGGGCTGGAACCGGCAGGGCATGGAGCCAGACTGGGGCCGGCAGGGCAAGACGTCTAGGAGGTGCCGGCAGGGCAAGACGTCTGGATGGCGTTGGTAATGCCAGGAGCCGAGCTGGGGCCGGCAGGGCGAGGAGCCTGGGTGGCGCCAGTAAAGCCAGGAGCCGGACTGGAGCCGTCACTGGCGGGCGCTCTGGGGCTGGAGCCGACACTGGCGGGCGCTCTGGGGCTGGAGCAGACACTGGCGGGCGCTCTGGGGCTGGAGCAGACACTGGCGGGCGCTCTGGGGCTGGAGCCGACACTGGCGGGCGCTCTGGGGCTGGAGCCGACACTGGCGGGCGCTCTGGGGCTGGAGCCGACACTGGCGGGTGCTCTGGGGTATGGGCAGTCTTCTTCCTGCGCGTCCTCCGTCTGGTCGTCTGAGTACTAGGAGAAGCGTTGTAAACCGGAAGAGGAGCATGCTCTGGGACTGGAACCGACACTGGCGGGCGCTGAGGGACTGGAGCAGACACTGGGGTTTCACAGAGTTCCAGGAGCCTCTTCAGAGGCTCAGAGAAGGGTGGTCTCCGCACAGCCCGACGCGGATAAGTCCGCAACTTCAAAACAGCTCTTTTCCTGCCTCCCGCAGATAGATCCGCTAGCCCCAAGAACAGATTTTGATTACCCCTCAGGCCTCCCTCCTGAGGGTTCTGCTCCACCAGAGTGATTGAGAGAGGTGAGCCAGAAATCAACAGTGCATGTTCCATGAAAAGATAAAGGCTCCACTCTTCCTCATATGTTGGCATCTGGGAGCGGAAGGGTTCTAAAAGTCCTCCCCGAAAAAACATCATTAGCAGTAAATCGCTAAAAGTACTGCTTGGGGCCAGATCCAAAAACTCCTTAATGAAACGTACAACGGAGCGGTTACCCTGCTTTATTCGCACTAGAATATTATCTTCTGAATCCATAGTGATCGCGTCGTTCTGTCACGTTTTAGCGTGATCAAAACAATAACAAAAACGAGAACGAAAGATAGCGGATTCAAGTGCAGATTTAATATTAAATAGTGCAGTAACAGTGAACAAAAACCAAAATCCAAAGTGCAAAGTAACAACTAAACAACAAAACAAGAAACTAAGACAGATAAACATGAACTAGACTATAACAATATACAAGGCGAGATCAGGAACAACAACTAGGAGAAACAGACTTACTGGTTACAAGAAAGACAAACGACGCGATGACAAACTGTGGTGAAATGGTTGTATAAATAGCCCAGATAATCAACGGTAACACAAAACAGATGTGATGACAGGTCAGTGTAGGTGTTCCGGTGTATGCGCGTGGACTGTATAAACTTGTACTCTTTTGGGCGCTGTAGTGAGTTTTCAGAGTCTGTGAACTACAGCGCCCTCCGGAGGTCACTGACCGTCATGACAAACCTTTTTTGTTATTCGCCTGATTTTCTATTTAATTATGAGGGATAAGTATTGCATTTTAATGTAATTTTGAGAACTATTTTTGCTGAATTAACTAGTCGGATGGTTATCATAACCCCACTTTTTGATGTACCAAAAATTGCTTACCATACTACCATACATAATGTTTATTTCCAAATGTGCATTTAAACTGTAAGTTTTATATAAGTTTTATAATTAATGAAAAGTTAGAATAAAGAACAATAAAAATGTACTTCTTTTTAAAATACAATTTATTATCATATCATTACTTTTTTAATCTGTTAAAACTCGAAGCCTACAGGCAAATAACAAACTGACCAGTACATTTAACTCTCCTATCAGAACTTATATATATAAAATAACGAAATTCATTCTTGGGGAAGGGTTTATTCACCTGTGCCCACCAATGTCAAGTGCAAACGCCCTTGATACCGACATCAACTTTCGGTGCTTCAGCTGATATATTCAAATTTGTCTCCCGCTATGGCTCACGCTAAGGTGGAGGAAAAGGTTATGACGCTTGTCATAAAGCACAATATATCAGTGTTTTCAAACAAATAACGTTTATTTCAGGTTTCAGAGACTTAAACACATTTAAGTAGGCTGCCAAAAACACACCAATTGGTTGTGAAAAATAAGCGCTGAACTCTAAGAAGGCGGTTATTTTACACATAAAACGGATGAGTTGCGTTATTCACAATGTAATGAAGTTAAAATATTTAAGCTATTCTTTTTCCACTTTCATCTGGTAACGTTAACGTTTATGTGAACTATCAAGGCATCTGCTCCTGGCAGTGCTCTTCGCCCTTCATAGATCAAATATCATAATTAAGCTGTTAAAATGGCAACTTTTTGAGGATCGTAATATCAGATAACGTTAGTTCACAATATAATTAGGACGTCAATATCTGCAGAAAAGGGTTAAAAGAAAAATTAACGTTATATTCATAATCATCTCCATCGAATACACGGCCGGCCAGACGTGCGAGTCGGTTAAGTCTAGCTGCGGATATGGACCTCAATATAACATCATTTCTGTAACTGTTTAGGCTAACAATAATTTAATAAGTAATATAAATAATTCTCGTTAACTCCCGGCCGCAATCATAACGTTATCTGATCTAGCAACAACACTCCAGCTCTCATCGGGCTGCGCTGTCACGTGATAAACTTTATGCGTCGCCATAGAAACTTTGAAAATAACGGAAACTGCTGGGTTTAGTGGGAGTATTTAAATATTAAGAAGGCCTACATGAAGGTAGATAAACGATGAAAAAGTCAGCAAAACTGCTATCCTGGTTTCAATCTGGGAAGAGAAGTGTTCAGGAGGAGAGTGTATCCAGCACGAAAAAGGAAGGGGAAGAGAGTGAGCTGAGCACAAGTTATAAGAATGTTGGTAACGTCCCCATAGCATCTACCAGCAGCAGCGAACAACACAAAACGGTGAGAATGACTCAAACTACATCAAATTTGGGTTTATTTGGAGCGGGAAAGAGAAAGACCCAAGGCCACAGTGTGTGATATGTGGCAAAGTTCTTAGCAATGCTTCCATGAAACCATCTCATCTTAAACGACATCTTACAACCAAGCATACTGCGCTTAAGGACAAACCTGTGTTTTTTTATTTTATTTTTTTTTTACGAAAACATAAAGAACTTAAGCAGTCAAAAACCACAATTCAATCTAGCAGCACACCTATAGTCAGAGCACAGGAAGCTTCATATCATGCCAGCCTCAGGA